TGTGCCTGTAGTCCCAGCTACTTTGTATGCTGAGGTGGGATGATTGCTTGTTTCCAGGAGGTGGAGACTGTAGTGAGCCGAGATCATGACACTGTACTCCGGCCTGGGTGACAGCGGGAGACCCCGTCTCCAAAAAAACACATAAATACAATTCTATTGTGAGGCTGATTAGGGAGTGGATTCGCCCAAGCTCTGTAGATGAAAGATTCAAATCCAGATCCCTTATTAACTGGCTTGGTCAAGTTATTTCACTTCTCTAAGCTTCCTTTTTCTCACTATAATGTGGAATAAGAATACACACATCTTTAAAGATGTTGTGAAGCTTCAATGAGATAGTCCATGAACACGATTTAGCCCAGTGCCTCTTGACCCCTAAACTAGTCTTCATTCATGTTAGCAACTATTTTTATTAATGTCTCTGATCTTCAATATCTTCTTCAATAAAATGGGGCACTAAAAACTACTCTGTAAAGAACTTAACGTGATAAAATATGCAAAACCCTAGTTCAACAACATATGACATCCAGTAGAAACTCAGTACATAGGAGTACATAGGAGTATCTAAATGACGTAGAATATTGTAGCTAGGGACACCAATGATGTCGCTGTAACTACTGTTAAGTGTAATGAAGCCAGAAAATGGTTCACATTCTATAGACCAGATTTACAATCACACTCTTAGGACACAAATTTTTTTTCTAGTAAATTAGGTGTATTCCAATGACTTAACATATATAATATGCCCTCCTTCCCATCACACAAAAATAGATGCCCCTTCCCCCTCATTAGAATCCAGTCTGTCACTATGTATCTGCACAGACAGAAAACAAACGTTGCAGACATTTTGGTTTTGAGTTAGTGCCTGCTACTTCCCTGGTTTCAAAATCTGCTGAATTCAAAATCTGTAATTATCATCAAGAATAAAAACCAAAACAAAGCCAAAATGAAAATGATTACTTGCAAGGAGCAGAGAGACTGGAGGAAAATAGCCTTAATCACTGAACTTTATGTCCAATTCATTAAGATGAAAAAACCCTTCCTAGTAAATGACCAACAATTCCAGAAAGCAAGGATTACATCTGTATTCTTTAGGTAATTAACACAGTGCCTTAATCCAGCAGGGGAACCCAAATGCATTTCATTGAACAAACGAGTGAATGAATGAATATACAACTTCCCAATTATGTATAGGGCATCTATTGAGACCACTACCCAAATCTGTCCTTCCTGCTTCTGCAGAGTCTCTTTCTGTGGCCTCATATAACACCCCCAAGTGTTGAACAGATGTTCTCTTGGTACTGGATTCTGAAGGACTTACAAAAGTCAATAAATAATTCAAGGAGATGGCTAAAGGGTAGGTCATAAACCATCTCCCTCAATTGGTGGTCACTAATACAGGTGTGTACCAGAGTCAACTCGGTGGTGTTTTTAACTACCCAAGGACAGGTCTCTGGCCAGATTTATTGATTCAGAATCCCAACTGATTCTGATGCAAATCTCTGGTTTAGAACTACTGTTTTAGGATTGTAGAGGTTGCCAGGGATGTGAGACCACTAACTGGTATGTGTGCCAAAAGCTCTCCTGCACCCATGACAGACAGTGTTACTTGATCACTACACCCTTACTCTCTGAGCCTGCACTCATTCAAAAGCCTTTATTGTTTTTACTGTGGTAAGATATACATGACATAAAATTTATTTTAACCATTTTTAGTGTACAATACTATGGCATTAAGTACATTACCTTGTTAAGCAACAATCACCACCGTCCAGCTCCAGAACGTTTTCATCTTCCCCAGCTGAAACCTATTAAACACTAATTCCCCATTTCCTCTTTTCCCTCAGCCTCTGTCAACCAAAGTTCCACTTTCTGTCTCTATAAATTTGACTATTCTGGATACTTCATAGAAATGGAATCATAGAGTATTTGCTTTTTTGTGACTGGCTTATGTCTCTGAATGTCTTCAAGGTTCATCTATGTTGCAGCATGTGTCAGAATTTCCTTTTCATACATTCATCCATCACTGGACACTTGGGTTGTTTCCACCTTTTGGCTACTATGAATATATGCTATGAACATGGATAAATGTATTAGTCCGTTCTCACATTTCTATAAAGGACTGCCCAAGACTGAGTAATTTATAAAGGAAAGAAGTTTAATTGACTCACAGTTCCACATGGCTGGGGAGGCCTCAGGAAACTTACAATCATGGCAGAAGGGGAAGCAAACACATCCTTCTTCACATGATGGCAGGAAGGAGAGGTGCCAAGCAAAAGGGGGAAAAGACCCTTATAAAACCATCGGATCTCATGAGAACTCACTCACTATCGTAAGAACAGCAGCATGGGGGTAACTGCCCCCATGAGTCAATTATCTCCCGGCAGGTCCCTCTGATGACCTGCGGTCATTATGGGAACTACGATCAATTCAAGATGAGATTTGGTTCGGGACACAGCCAAACCATTATACAAATAGCTGTTTGAGTCCCTGCTTTCTTCTTTTAGGTATATATCCAGAAGTGGAAGTGCTGAATCACATAGCAATTCAATGCTTAATTTTTTGAAGAAGTTATACCATTTCCCACAGAGGCTGCAACCATTTCACACTTCCACAAGCAATGTACAGTTACAAGGGTTCTAATTTCTCCTCCTCCTCTTATCATATTAGAAATAAACATCTATGTGAATGTGTGAGAGGTTTTGTGTGTGCATATGTGTGTGTGTGTAGACAGATACAAACCACGTTTCCAATGAAATCTTAGGAGCAGAAGACAAACTCAAATATTTCCTTGTTCTTTGTTTTTATTTAACTCCAAATAGCTAATAACATAAAAACATTAAAAAAAATCTCCAATACCCGACTATTAAGTTATTTTTGGTTGACAACACTTGATTATTTTGTTCTTGCTTGTTTTCAACATGTAGTAACAGAATCTATAATAACTTTAAAAGTTTGCAGCAGGCTTAAAACCTGAATATTTAGATCCTAATCAAAAACCATGATGTAGTTATTAGTTTTGATTTTAAATACTTGCCCCCCACAGAACTTATTAAAATGAATAACCATAAATAGGCTAGCTATTAATTAGATCTCAATGAAATGCCCACATACAGCACATACATATAGGTAGTACATATGCTTTTATCCTTTACTACTCAAAGTATGATGTACAGAGGAATTATATCATAAACACCTTTAACTTACATTAACTCAACACATGAGGTCAGTGAAAAGGAAGCCATAAGGAAAATAACATGAAATCCTGTGGTGATCCCACCTATGATGAATGCACACCCTCGAGGAAACCCAGGTGGGTGCTGTCTATCTGCTGGGTGGGTGCTTCGCTCCTTGTCAGTTCACATCTGCCACTAGCGGGGCAAGCATCTTGCAAGGCTATGATTCTAGTGTTAAAAGGTATGTGCTTTTTTTTTTTTTTTTTTTTTTTTAAACAAAATGACCCCTAAACAAACACCAACAACTTCACTTGATTTTCAAACAAAGAAACAGTCTTTTTTTCCAACATGGGGGGGAAAAGCTACTTGTAGTGGATGTACAGGTTTCCAACATGGCACCCTTCTAAAGGGCTTTCAAGGATCATCCTAATAGCCCATTTTACCTATGTACTGACCTTGGAAGCTAACCCCTGAGTATGATGCAACTCCACTCTAATGTAAATTAAAATGCCATGATCTTTAAAAATGCCATAATATTGTCAGTATAATTTAACTTCCAGTTTAGTTCCATCTTCACATTTAGCAGTGAGTGTCTGTGACCGTCTCCTGGTGCCAGCATTTCAGAATGTACTATCACTGGCTGAGAAAATCTCATGGTGAGAAGAGTAGTGTGTCATAAGATCTGAACAAAAAAGCTACCAAAGTTGATCAGTCTCAGTATGATTCAGGATATGATTTCCAATTAGCAAATGGTGCGACTGAAGCAGAGAGTAGCTTTGTTTTGCTACACTCAGTGCTCCCAGGAATATCTTGTGGCCTCCTTTTCGTGGGTTTCTATGCTGGCAGTTACACTCTACTTCTTAAACACTTGGCCTTAGACTGACCACCGCCCTGGTTCAGTTTCTATTTTTAAGAGCACCGTTCTAATGGAAATGTCCCTGCCCTGAATTAAGCTGGGACTGTACACTTTACCACTAGCTAGAGCTGTTATATATCATAGCGTTTAGATTAATTTGGTAAGTATTGATTTCCTTGACTGTGACTTCAAAACTTGCTTCTGCTTCTTTTAGCCATGTAGGATTTCTACCTGGGGTGTAGATGAGGGTAAAATATCCCATGGAGGACTCCTTCAATAACCACATTTGGAAAATCTGGAAAAAAAAAAAAGAAAGAAAGAAAAACTGCTTTTCTTATGTGAAACAATAATTGCATTTTGTAGAATGGAACAAGGCAAGGCTTACGGTAAACACAGGAATCTGCATCGCCAGGCGTTTGCCTGGTTGAGGATGTGCTATCAGTCATGCTGCTTCAGCCTAAAGCCACTTGAGCGCACCACCAGGCGCGGCAGGAATGTGCGGCCAGATTTGTAGCTTATTGATTTAAGGGATGTTCTAATGGTTAATGCTGCTGGGCCTCAGCTCTTTATCTGAATGTTTTCTCACGAGGAAGATGGATTACACTGGCAATTCAATTTCTAACAAAATCTCAATATACTTGAAGGAATTCCAAGATTTCTACTGGGAATACCTCACTGCAGTTTTTCCATTGTGGTTTACAGTGCATTTAGTCCAAGTTGTCTTGAGTCTACTTGTTCTATTAGACTAGCTTCGAAAGAGAGCAGTAAGATGGGGGTCTGTCTTCCTAACTTAAAAGGGCAAATTTCCAACAGAAGCCATCCTGCCAAACTTGAAAACATAGCTACATTATTATAGGAGATAGGAAGGGAGGCCAGGGGTGCAGAGTATGTTCTACTACATTCCAGTCATTAGAGTAGGTAAAATGTGAATGGATTACTTGAATGGGAACCAATCTATCTCATGGTTCAGAAGTTTAATTTTTAAACTTTATTCTGTACATAATGACATCCAGGAACTATCCTAAAGCTGAACACTTTAAAGAAATATAGTTATTACCTAAGAAAATAAAAGTGGTCCAATATTTTAAGAAAAAAAAATGTACATCAAACCTCTATTGTCAACTGTGTAAATAAAATCATTTACTAGGGGATTACTGCCTCATCAGAGGAGGCAGAAAGGCTCTCAGAGGCTAGGGGTAGGCAGAGGGAGCTAGCCAGGTGGAAAGTCTGTGGCCAGAGGGAGCCTGGAGGGTTCAGAGACCTAAATGAAGGCCAACGTAGCGAGAGAAGCGGGAACGAGGAGGCTGGAGGGCCCGGGGTGCCCAATCATACCTGGGAAGAACAGATAGGAATTCTGGCTTTATCTAAAACTCAATGGGAAGCTATTGAGGGAGTTTAAGCAGAGTGGGACAGAGTAGAATTGTGTTTTGAAAAACATGATTCTGGCTGCCAACTGGAGAATGGACTGGAGCAAGTTCAAAGCAGACACAAGGAGATCAGTTCGGAGACTACTGCAGTAGTTCACAAGGGCAATGTGGCAGCCCAAACGAGGTTGAGGATGGAGAACCATGGAGGAATTCTAGAGAAATGAAGGGCGGGACCAAGTGACGGGTTAGATGTGGTTAGTGAGGGAAGGGGTGAAATCAAGCATGCCTCTTGGGTTTCTGGCTTGCATAATCACAGGGTGGTGGGAGAAGACCCAGAATAGAAGTAAAACAGAAGATCATCACCTTGGTCTGGAACTTGTGTTTCAGGCATCCGTGAGACTTGCCAAAGGGGAAGTCAAGAAGTGATAGAATGTGGTGACCAGTTTACCTCAACAAGTATTTATTGAGAGGCCTCTGTGTCCTGGATTGGCCATGTAATAGCTGTGTGACCTTAGGTGAGTTATTGAACATCTCTGTGCCTCTCTTTCCTCAACTGTGAAATGGATTTCATAATAGTATCTACCTTATAGGCTGTTTTAAAAATTGGGGAGACAAGTGAATGAGCACACAAAATAATGTCTTAGAAAATCTCCAACACATGAATATCCAGTTATTTTTGGTTGATGACACTTGATTTTTCAGGGCATGCCTTTCCCCAACATGAAGTAATGGTTTTTCATGAAATATATCTTTGAAAGCTTGTGATAGGCCTTACACATGTATATTTAGAGCCCAATAAAAACCAATAATTTAGCTAAGCTAATTTTAATTCTAATTGTATTTCTCCCACATAGAAGGGTATTAAAATCAATTGCCACAAATAGAGCTGTTGGTTAATTTTCTAAAAGATACCCAAAAATGGCATATTACATGAAGGTGGAAGACATGCCTTTATTCTTTGCCACTCACAATATAGAAGTTGATTTGAAGGTCAGTGAAATTACATCGTAAGTATATTTAGCTTAAAAGGATTCAACTAAATAAGTTAAGCAAAAAAGACATAAAGGAAAATAACATTACATACTGTGGGTAACTCTACCACGATGGTGATATGTCAAGCAGTGACGAGAACGGGGCAAGGAGAAAAATACAGCAGGGCATGGGCTGGAGAGGGCCCAGAGACAGGGAAGTGAGGGAAGAACCTGAGTGATGGTGCCATTTGGGTGACGACTTGCAGGAAGGGACAAAGCAGCCCTCTGGGAGGGTGTCTGGGAGAAGGGCATTCCCGGCAGAGGGAACAGCAAGTGCTAAGGCTCTGTATGTATGTCCACCAAGAGCTGAACATATGCTAGATGCTGGGGATTTAGAGGACAAAGACAAAGAACAAAGATAAGATAGTGACCATTACTATAAAGGAAGCAAATAGGGTTCTCTGACAAAAAGTGAATGGGATGGAGGTGTTTTAAAGCAAGGTCCACCAACTAGTGATCAGAAATAACATAATCAGGGTTTTGGTTTGTTTTCTCATCTGTTCCACTCTACTTTAAACTGCGGATTTTGGCTTCATCATATGCATGATTTACTACAATGTCCATTATTGCCAGCATTACTCAGTAAACTGTTCTTGCCTTTGATTCCCATTGAGAGGTGATGAGAAGGAAGGTGATTTAGGGCAGGTTTTGTTGTTATTTTTGTTGGGTTTTGCTTATTTAATGAACATGTATTGTGAATGGGTAGAGGGGCTTGTGGAGAGGGAGAATCAGCACAGGCTCTCTGAAGCTGTGGCATTCAATGTGAGCCCTGGAAGATGAGAGGCAGCTGGCTATGGGATGGAGAAAAGAAGGCTCAAGGTGGAGGAAACAGCACACCTGAGGCCCAGAAAGAATTCCAGGGTGGCTAGGGCAGAGTGTATGAGGAGGTCCAGTAGGAACATGAGCCTGGGGCAGCTCACAGAGGGCCTTACAAACAAACCACAGGTAAGAGTCTGGAGCTCCCAGGAGAGAGTTAAGATGGAAATACAACATTGTGACTCAGGTGCACACACATGGTAGACAGGCCACACACAAGGAGATATCTGAAAGAAAGTGTAGTGAGAAGAGGAGAATGTCTATGACAGCATTCTGGTCAGCTGCTATACAGTGGAAGGAAGTGGGAGAGCCAAGGGGAGACATTGTTTGAAGGAGTAGAAACCGATCAACATGTCTAAAGTACATGAGAGGCCAAGGAAGATGAGGACTGAAAAATATCCATGGGTTTTAGCCACACTGAAATCACTGGGGACTTTGGCAAGAGTTGTTTTGAGTTTCCTGGAAAATCAAATCAAAGACCAAAAAGCAAATGCTTTTCAATCTGTTAAGAGAGTACTCTCCTGATTTCTGATGTTAAAAGCTAAGAGATATTTGATTATTAGTATTTTATAAGAGGATAATCTTTGAAGACAGACACTCCTCTGACTTTGTAGGGGGTCGGGGTCAGTACATCTCTGAAGAAATTTCCATATGCAATATGCTCTGGAATAATAACCTTAATATCTTGCTAAGAGGCATCATAACAAAAATGTGACACAAGTAAAGTTTCTCTTTAAATTAAATGCTGAAGATTTGCAAGAATATATATCATTAGTATAAGACTTCTAAGATAACAAGGATCTGATTCATGAAACTGGATTGGTCAAAATTCCAAGAAAACAGATCTGGTGACTGGTCCTCCCATACCTCCCATCCCATCCATCAAACCTGTGATTCACTTATTCTCAAACAGGAGTTCCCTTATTTTGCAAGTCTTCATCCATATTACCATGCTACCAATGATACATATGTTTTGCTCTTTCCAGCTCAAGACATTTACCCCTGAGGTTCCTTCCAAGAAAGTTCTTCCTGTTCTTCACTGTCAAGCCAGGCATAGAGCACATGGTAGGCACTGCTCAATAAGCTGGATGAGTTGGATTTAAAGGTCATAAAATATGTTCCCTCTTCTATCAAGTATCCTGGCTATTCTAGTCTACAGTAACCATTTTACTGTCTACACTTCTGTAGGAATTTCAGTCAGATGCATGACATATCTGAGCATAAACAATACATGGAAAAAGTGCTTGTGGAGCCATTTTTCAAAGATAATATGAATAATTTATAAAACATTTAATCTATATTAGGTTGCATCATTAATATTTGTTAAATATGATATTTTAACACGACATCAACTAACATGTATATTTGTTAAACATAAGAAGCAAATGTTATAGAGAGGAAGTTATTCTTTACTGCAAGGAAAAAGAATATGAGGTCATATTCCTATACAGCAAAGGCAGCTCACTCTGATCAGGGTGCTACTAGGAAGGGTCCCTCAACCCTTCTTAGGGAGGAGTAGGACTGCGTCCTGGCCACTTTTCTTCAAACTGACAGCTAAGTGGGTGATCTGAGTATGTGCATCCTTGCTAGAGAGAGCAGTTCCCTTTCTCCTGCTCATAAGGTTTTATTGTCAGAAATAGGAAGGGTTTCAATGGATCATTTATCTATTACTATTTAGTGACTCCCAGAAACAAGATTCACTATGTGCAAAGAGCACAGAAGGAATACATAGGCAACAAGGGGTCCACCCATCAACCATCTTCCCTGGACCCCAATTTTCTCATTTAGCCAATGATAATATCAGCCCTGCTTAGTTCACAAGGTTGTTAAGGAAATTAAGTGAGATAATGTATGCAAATGAACTCATAAAGAGATGCATAACAGAATACTTTGAGAGGGACTCTGATGAATTTAAATTTCTTTGCACAGAGAAAAGACTCAGTCGAAAATATTGATTACAATTATACTTAAATCAATTAATTGTATTTAAAATATGCAACTTTCAAAAATATACAGTTGGCCATCAAAGATGCTGTAATCTAAATAGAAATGGAGATATGCCTGCAATGTATATATACATAGATTTTTCGGAAGAGGCATTTTTAAAAAGGACTAGATCCTTGACTTTGAACCCTGGCATCTGGACAAAAACAAGCAGAGGCCAAAATGACACGATCGGAAAAATTAAGGACCATAAATACCTTTCTGCCTTATTACTCTAATTCAAAATAGTCTGGTGAGAGAGAAAGAAAAATTACATTTCCTCCTGAAAGGCTGGCCTCAATTAAAATTCTAAATGTCTCTTACACCAAGAGCACTGGTTTATTGGCAGATTATTAAGCCCTGGACCAATGTCACTCTGTTAGACCTGTATTAAAAACGTGGTTTATGTGGTGCAGGGTCAGATCAGTAAAGAGCTGTTAGCAGATGACAGGTTTGATTACCGCTGGCTGTAGGCAAGACGTATGGATCCCTGAGGAACAGCAGCACAGGCTGGTGGGACAGTTTGCTGGAAAGGTCAAGAACAGGCATGTCAGCATCAGGGGACGATGGTAAACAGAAAACACTACAAACTAGCTTTGAGGGGATCAAACTGCTGTGTGGGGACGTCTCAAGGTTTATGTTCTAACAGTGTGGGTGAATAATAGCACACAGAGTGAGAGCAAACAAATGGGCACTGCTCTCATCTTCTAAACATTTCTTTGTGGAATTTGAAGCAGATATACAATCTATACAATAAGTCATTGCTGAAACGTGCTTTCCTAAAAATCTTGTAATACGATTGTTGATAAAACATTCTGATTACTTGCATGAAGCAATGTAGGGCTCTTATTCCTCCACTCTTAATTCTAACTAGTTACTCCTGTATTTCCCTATCAAATATTTATAATCTTAAAACCAATTTTCAAACAAAGGTTTTTAAGAAAAACATAACTTGAAACATATCATGGGTGATTAAACATTTAGCAAAACCATAATCCTATTCCCGGCTGATGAGGATTAGTCCTTACCTTGACTCTTCAGACTCTGTTTCATCAAAAGATCTAAAAGTTTTGAAAAAGGAAAAAAACAAACAAACAAAAAAACGGCATACGTTGAGTCAATGTTTATGCCAACAAAGGAAAAAATACCCAATATTTTTAGATGACTGAATAGGGAGATATTTTTAAGAAGAGTTGTGAGTTTCCACTGAGCCACAGCATGGCTATGCCCCATCCTAAGGAATCTGAAGACTGGAATATTCTTTGATTTCAATTTTCCTGATGATTACTTAAAAATCCTCAGATTTTATTACTACTTTTGAGCTTGTATAATGGAGAAAACATTTCACTCAATACCATTGCTAATGTCTATTCTAAAAAATACATAAACATATACGAAGCCCAACCTCCCTGTAAACACATACAAGTTGGAACAGAACACACTGACAGCACATTATTTCATTATTTGCCAAGTGTAGTGTATAATTTTTGCTCTGCAATAAGTGGAAAGTGGCCCTGAGTAAACAGTGCTCATGAAGAGCTGTGACAGGTGTTTGCAGCCCCGTCATCCAGTGGATGGCTGGGGTTTAACATGATTTTGGGTGTGGTCTGCTTGATCTTCTTGTAGTTTTAAGTGTGGTTCCTTCAGGCAGGTCTGGAAGCAGCGAGAATATGGGTACACCTCTCTCCTGCATGGATTTTGAGAGTTTGTGATGATTTGTTTCCCTGTAAATGGATACAGTATGCCATGGATGTTTCTGAAGGTCTTCTGAGGCTAGCTCAGCCCACGTCATGTGCCTGTTGCTGGGCAAGTGGCTTGTTTCAGAGTTAATTCTTCGGGAGAGCTTTTCCCAATTGCTAATGATATCAAACCTCTGGGTCCCTGGGTTTAGGACCAATGGGTTTAGACCAATAGATAGGGATTAGGATTTGTAGTTCTGCCACTGGAAGTTCCTGAGAGAGACAGCTGGACAGTAGAGGAAGAGGGCTCGCCTTGGAAGGCCTCGGTTCTGCAAGCTACAAGGCAAGAGATCTTGGGAAAGACACTAAATTCCTGTGTCTCTGTTTGCTCAACTACAAAATGAGAGGAGTTGGATCAAATCTTCTCTAAGGTCATTCATAACTTTAAAATTATATGAATATGTGTACCACCAGGATATGAACTTTGCTTGAGTTTCCACTAATGAGTCCATAACATGTTATCTAGATTCATAATTCCTATCAAGTAACATCATTCTATGTAACAGCATAATTGAAAAGATTGATTCCTTGAGTCTAAACATGGGTTACTGAACCATGGCCATTTGGCCACAAGATGGGTATGAGGAATTCTTTTGACCAAAAGCAGGCAGCGAGCGAGTGCTGTAGCAAGCCAAAAGAGTGGGCGTGGCCGGCAGGCTACTCAGGCATCACTCTGGGCTATTTGTTAGATCAATCGGTCATTGAAGAGTAATTTAAAATATACATCCAATATGCAAACATGATTCTTACCCACAACTTTCTGCCTTTGGTAGAGAGGGCAAGTGTCGCACATTTAGGAAATCAAGAAACAGTTTGGGAAGTTCTTCATTTTCTAAAATGACAGCCTGTGAAAGCAGAAAACAGAATTAGAAACTGAAGTGAAGTTTGCTAGGCAATCAATCAAATGAACTATTTCAAAAAGTCATAACCGTCCATCAAAGTTCTTACCAGCAACATTCCTCACAGTCAAGATGAGGAGTGGTCTCTGTTTTGCCCACCAGGAATTCAGGCTGACACACATGCTAGGGAGTGCTGGCAAATACTGCAGTTTATCTGTTCTTTCATTCAACTGGCATTTATAGAGCACCTACTATACACTAGATGCTGACTAGGGGACAAGACAGTGGGGAGCCAGGTAGAAATGGTTCCTGCCTTCATGGAGATTCTAATCCAGAGTGAATATTTCAAAACCTGGAACATCAATAATACTGTTAAGATATGTATATCAAATTGTCCTTACTGAATGACAAAGTGGTCTGATATACATTATCTATACATATATGTGTGTGTGTGTGTGTGTGTCTCCCCACAGGAAACCACTACTATTTAGGAAATATGGTAAGTTATTTTTTAACTGGAAGGTTTAGTCAAGAACCTTCAACTATCACCTGTTTTGGCATTAGAATCAACTGACATTTATTGCCATTTGGACAGCTCCACTCAAAGGGTCAGTAACAACTTTACTGCTAAGTGTAAATCAGCATACATGCTGGAAAAAAATCTATAGAGCTCTTCCATTTAGTGAGCTCTGCTACATAGCCCGCATAATGGCATAACCATGTCACTACTCAGAGATCCAGATTATGCAACGTCAAGGAGAAATCTGACAAAGAAGTATGTATCTTCATATCTATGTATGTTTAAAGTCTACCAGAGTGTGTGAACTGAACAGAAGTTTGCCACCTCCCCCTCCCCCTTTTCCAAAAGACCACAGGAGAAAAGCATCAAAGGTTGTATCTTAATCTCTGACTTCAATACAACTATTCTTAAGGATCATTTTTCATAACTTACCATGGGTAAATTTTGTCCAGTAAGTACATGTTGTTTAAAGAACTATGAGAATTGGTGGTGAAATATCATTCATACAACTGATCAGGAATACTGTGTAGGGTGGTGCATAAGATACATAACAAGTAACAAAAGTGAAGTGAAATTATGTACCTTGTAGATACACAGTTCTATATCACATCTTGTTTTTAGCCATGGTTCACATACTGAGTTGCCCCAATTTCTTATCAGGTTTTGTAATACTGTTACCCAGTTCAGGTCATACAAATGGGGTGGGTGACTACACAGGTTGCCAGTCCTCCTAGGCTGCCCTCTGTCCCACACTAGAGCATAGCCCTCCTGGTGTTCAGTCTCTGGAGAGGGGTCATCTAAAGAGCCACCTCCACTGGGGGCTGCTACTGTTCTTTACACAGCTCACTGTTCCCACGGAAGCTTAAGGAATAAAAGATAGAAGAAAAAATTGGGGTGTTATACTTTATTCATTAAAAAAGAATTTACTGGGCATCTATTATGTTAGACACTGGGACATGACGATAAATCTTACAGGTCCAGTGGAGCATGGTCTGGTGAAAAAAGCTAGCAATGAACAAGTAAACACACACACTAAACAACAACTTAAACTTGCCTTAGAATATAGTGAGATAGAATCGAAATAGCGTATCACTCTCTAAGTGTTTTCCCATCTACCAATGCATTCATCCGTCCATCCCTCTGTCCCTCTCTCCATCCATGTGTGTGTATGTGTTTACTTTCTCCTGGTTATAAAAATAGAAAAATAAAAAGTTCAGAAAATAAAGAGAAAAAAAACCCTCTCTGTTCAGAGGCATAATTTCATTACTATTTCAATTAAATTTCCTTAAATCATTTCACTTTTACCTCAGTTTTTACCTATTCGAGGACACTTTTGGGTGCCCAGAGGTCATTATTTCAGTGCCCATAACTCAAAAAGTTCTGGGAATCATCACACATATAAAACTCCAAGGTATTTTGGCTGTGACACATGTTTCAATGATTGTTTTTTTTCTAGATATCTGTTTAAGAGGATGATACAATACGTATTTGAATAATAAAGCTTAATGTTGTAACACATGCAGACCTGTTCCCCCAGGCAATAGTTTTAATTATCTGTACAAGTGGTAGCTTTCAGATTTAAAAAAAGACGGAAGAGTATAACATTCTTATCTCCACCCCCACCTTCTTAAAATAAATTAAATCAATAACAAGTGTGGGACACTTTTAATGACCTGAACTACTTAATTTCCAGGATCTTTAGACATGTCATCCATCACTGCAGTATGGAGGAAGACATCTCTTGAGTGTTCAGGGGGTTACTTAGGTTTTATTAATGCAAGATTTAGGGAATTTTAACAAGGTGAATTGTTTATTTGCCTTGACAGATTGGCTTACAATGCACTGGCCACATCTACAGCATGATCATTAATGACAAAAGACAGGCAAAAAGCTGTTTACACTGCAACATAGGGACGGGAATTAATCCTGCTCAGCCTCCCCAAACAGAGTTCTCCAAACAGATGATCACATTGCTTTACGTAAGATATACTGGCAAAAGCAATACAGAAAACTCCAGAAATCTGTGTGTAATTTACTTTGCTAAATTTTCACTGAATATTCTCAAATAATATTTTCCATAAAACAATGACGAATATGTACTTTGGGATTTATAGTTTTAGAGAAGGCAGCATTGAGGGTTAGTTAAGCATTCAGTTATGTGGGCAGGCATATTTCCTAAGTTCTGTTTTAAAAGCTTGGGAGAAAAGAACTAATACTTCAGAGATACAGTAAAATATAGAAGAATTTACCTAATGTAACATATTATGTACAAATGACTGTCATCAGTTGGTACAGAGATGAAAAAGAGGAATTAAATCTTTTTGTTCATACACACGTGACCTTATTCATGAGAAACTGAACAGTAAGGCTGGACCTCACAACTGTTCCATTTACAACTTCTTCAGTTTCTTGAAAGGCTTTTGCTCTGAAGGAACTACCCCTTCTTGAAGCTGTACCCTGGATCATCCTATAGAATAAAGATGTCAGTTCGGTTTAAATCTCTCAACTTTGCTCAACAATAAGCTCCTAAGTTTTAAAAAATTAAATTTTTGAATATCAAATCCTATCTCTCTATTGTTTTAGATTGCTTATCTTTATTTTTGATTAATATCCATCCAATGATTAATCACTTTCATTCTTTAGAGAGGCAGTGTGGTGTAGGAAGTACGTGGGCTTTCAGGGAAGACTTGAGTTTGAATCCTTTCTCTTTCTATCTTAAAAGGTTATTGTGAGGATTAAATGTCTCCAAGAATCTCTGATACACAATTAGTGATGGATAGATGCTAATTCTCTTTTCTTTGAGTACTGTTGTTGTATGAATCCCCAACAACCTATTTTACCAATTTTGAAGTTTGGATTATTGTTCATCAAGCAAACAGAGCTTCTTGGCCCTCTATATTTCAGGTATCTTTTTGAGTATCAGATAAAAGCTGAGTATCCTGCTTGCTGGAAAACACACATACATCTATAATTGTGCTTTCAGTGGCAGGGGGTTTGCAGACCCCTGACAGCCCAGCCAAGAACATCGGCTTTTAGCTTAGACAGGGCAATAGCACTCACTGCTGGGCTCACTTTTCTTTGGCCTGGAGCCTGAGGCACTGTCGGCTGGTGCTGTGTGCCAGCTCCCCAAAGGGGACACGTTGGCCTTCTTGTTTCAGTTTTCTATCTCTTTGTCAATTAGAACCCCACTGGAGGGTATGCTGCCTTGCTATTAGAATTCATTAATGCCTTCAGCTCTGGGCTGAGTTGAAGACATTTGTCTGGCATTGAGGCTACTGTGGTAAAGGATTCTTTCTAATACACCAAAATCTATTGCTGCACTGATTCTAGAGAATAATTCATATTCATGATTTCCATGTCTTCTATATATTATTCTAAAATGCATCAGTCAGTGGTGTGGAGGGTTCCCAAAATTAACAAAACATTAAGGAAAGTATGATTTTCCACTCTATCGTTGCTGGGCTAGAGTACAGCTGATGAAGCACTACCATGCTGCCCGTGTTATAAGAGGGGCATTCTGAACTGCAGGGTAGTGATGGGATCAGGCCCAGTGCTATCTACTTAATTACCCAGTGACTCTGGTGGTGGAGTTTTGACGCTGCTCATCCCATTCCTGGATGCAAGTTGGCACACATGGCCTGTCAACTAATTTATACAGTAAAACATCAAGAATTCAAAATGAATGTGACAAGTTTGGAGAAAAAGCTAGAAATAAATCCTAATAAATTTTACAGGTATACACACAGACTGAAATACTGTGAGAAACAGAATTAATTACCCAGATGCAAGACAGAGTAGCTGTTTATGTGCGAGAGTCATGGGTCTCAAATGGTAGGTCTACAAGAACTGCTCCTTTCACATGGTATCAAATGAGCTGAACAGTTCTCTCACCCCACTTAAGGTGATATTATCAAGCAACCCCTGCCACCACAAAAGAGAAATAAGAATAAACCTAGGAAGAGCTAGAGGCAAGCAATGAAAATAACTAAAAGATTTCAAAATAGTTTCCATAAAAACAAGTCATCCAATATTGGGTATGAAGAATAGAACCAGGCAGTGGAAAGTCAAGGGGATAATGATCTTTAAGTTAACTAACTGTTCTGTTAAGGAAGGTGGCCACTGGTTATCCAGCATTTTCAAAGCTGCTGGAACAAGAAGAAAGTACTGTCAAAAGCAGCAAGGAAGGAGTCATTTTCTAATTGAAGCATGTGCAATAAAAGTAGTAAAAGTGACACAGTATGAAAAGAATAGGCACTGAAGAGTATCAAAATATGCTGGACTCTTTAATAGACTTGCAGATTGGAGATGGCATAGAATTAACAGAGAAATGCCCTAAAGAAACTTCCATCCAATCTGTCACTTAGGAATACAAGAAGACCAAAAATCAGGTTATTATGATGGTACATGTAGGAAATGGGGTTAAATGAAAGAACTGTTACAGGTGTGTGATAGGCTGCTTGACATACTTCAATATTACTACATCCAA